GATCCGAACCGGCAAACCCAGGGCGCCGAGAAGCGGAACGTGTGAGCTTAACCGCTGCACCACGGGCCGACCCTGCTGCATAATTTTTAAGCAAGAAGAAAGGCTCTAGAGATAGATTCAGCTACAACATCCTCAGCTTTTCTTACTTTGTGGCTTCTAACTATAGGTTATTTACTAGGTGATGAACACATAATATTCATGTTAACTTTTTGCTAGTGGAGAAATTAACAGACACAACTTATGTTTGATCACAAGCCCATTTTAATCTCTCATAAGAGAAAAAAATGAATGTAAGGGCCCATGAGATTCGTAGAGGGCATCTAAGCAGATCGGAATATTAACTTTCATAGAAAATGTGAAGCTTCCCTTTGCCATTTCCAGAGGTCACCTCTAGGACACCTGTGATAGTTTTAAAATGACATAACATGACCTCATGAATAATTTGACTTCTAACTTTGTGAACTTCAGTTACAAAGTTACATAGAGTTCCACAGAATACGTGCTAGATCTAACTAATTTACAGTTTAGCCGTGTATAAAAGGAAACGATAAAGGGAGAAATGCCATCTGGAAGATTAAAATGAACAGTAGCCATGTAATGGGCAGTTAGAGTCCACATAGGCCACCTGGCTATTTAAAATGTTTGATCACTTCCAATGACCACCAGTTGTTCTCGCTCTCAGAATTGTTTTCTCTATAAGACACAAGATACGAGACAAGAAGAAGTTGTGTGGAGGAGATGCAAAAACTATTCTCCAAGTCTGGCATTTCAAGGGGCTTATTTACTAGTGTCTAGGAGAGCTTGGTTTCAATTAATTTTATTTTTAATGATCACTTTAAACAAGTTATGTTTGCTTGCCTTAAAATATTTACTCTTCTACTCTCCATTTTAAGCAGTTTAGATGTTAGGAATTTGAAGAAATAAAGTCTTGATTCTCTTTTGTGACACACATGACTTGCTGTCACTAGCAGCCTCTGGTCTCTCACACGTGGTATGAGTGGTTTGGATTAATTGCTTCCTAAGCTCTACTCCAGCTCTGAATTTCACTAATTTTACTGACATCAGATGTACATGTATGGAAAGAGATATTATTCATGTATTCATGTTGTTTCTTCTGTTATTACCACGTGTCCTTGTAATGTGACATGTAGAGAAGACTGGTAAACCCAGCACTACGAAGGCATTAAGTCCTATAATTCAGTGGAAAACAAATTTTTGAAGCTCACTCAGCTTTGCTTGATATGATTTAGTAGCTTTCTCCTAAATTCTTATTTTCTTCAGTTGAAATAGTTTCTCTGTGGATTTTTAACACTGTTTCCATATTTAAAGACTGTAATATTTCCTTTTATTTCCCCATGTGAGAAAAAATTAATAAACCAGGCATGAGGTTACAGGTGAAAATTTTCTTCAATACTCTGAAATAGTCTCTCTAATGCAATTTTGAGCTTCTCTAAAGAACATGTTCAACAACACAGTAGGATGCACTTCTGGTGCATGGATGGAAAAGCACGTGAAGCTCAACTAACCCAATGAGATGCCTTCAAAAGAGATAAAGAAATAAAGCTTATGCTTCCAGATCTATAAAGATGATCTTCCAAATCTTTAGACGGTTTTATTTTAAAGATTATTTCTTAATAAAATACCTAATTTTATGCCTTTCAATTATTCAGAAAATAAAAAATTTACATTGGGTATGTAAACCTCAATTTAGGACAGATTATGAAAGTGTAACATGGAAAGTCATTCTATCAGGAGCCTATGTGAGTGAAATATTGTGATCCCCATCAAACCCAAGATGCACAAATGTCCAAAGCCCTCTTAGAAGAAAGGGAGGTTGGAGTCTATCATCACAGAACTTGGAGATTCCCCTCTCCAGATTGGTCTTGGTAGATCAATGATTCTGAAAGCTTATGTAAAATTCTACAGACATCATAACGTAGCAGTGTTTGAAAGACAAAGTTAAACACATTTTCATGTACGAAAAAGAAGTAAAATGCAATCTGAATAAGATACTAAAGGAAGACAATGGAATAAATTCAAACAGATTGAATTATTCCTGAGGAAGGAGCATATTCAAGTAAGTATTCTTATTATAAATTTTAGAGGAAAGGTAGCTGTGGTGATACATATATTTAAATTTTTTAAAAGTAAACAAAAAATGACAAAAAGCTAATCAGAGAGCAAGAAAATAATAAGAAAAAATTAGATGGTAGTATTTTATTTTTGAAGGACTAATTCATAAGTTTTTTAAGAAGAAATTTGCAATTATTTTTATAGGATAAGGCACCAGCAATTATTTGGGGGAAGAAGAATTGAATAGGAAACATGGCTCCCATATCTGGATGCAGAAATGTTGTCTTTTCTGGTAAGTTAGCTACAACTTTATAGGAGAATACAGTGTTTTACAAGGCTTATTAAAAATAATGAGACTTAGGGGCTGGCCCCGTGGCCGAGTGGTTAAGTTCGCGTGCTCCGCTGCAGGCGGCCCAGTGTTTCATTGGTTCAAATCCTGGGCGCAGACATGGCACTGCTCATCAAACCACGCTGAGGCAGCGTCCCACATGCCACAACTAGAAGGACCCACAACGAAGAATATACAACTATGTACTGGGGGACTTTGGGGAGAAAAAGGAAAAAAAAAATCTTTAAAAAAAAATAATAATGAGACAGTCTCAGAACTACGTCATTTGATATATTGGATATATTTAATTTTTAATTAAATTCTCTTATCATTTTAGGGGCTGGTCCCATGGTCTAGGGGTTAAGTTCCATCTGCATTCTGCTTCAGTGGCCCAGTTAGTTTCCTGGGCATGGACCTACACCACACATCACCTGTCATGTTTTGGTGGAGACCCATATACAAAATAGAGGAAAATTAGCACAGACATTAGCTCAGGGTGAATCTTCCTCAGCCAAAAAAAAAAAAAAAGGGAAATAATGCAAATGTGTTTACTGGCACTATTTATAGTCCGTGAGATGATACAGCAGAAATTTAAGAAAAAATTTTTGGTCTACATTAGCAAAACTGAAAGTAAAATATCTATCAGGCTCTTGTCTTAAGAAAAAGAACATAAATTCTTTTGCAGTTTTATCTTCCTTCTTCATTTTTTATTTCTTCTTTTCTTTGTTTCTTTTCCTTTTCTTCTTTCCCTCCTTTCTCCTTCTTTCTTCTTTTTATTGATTAAATGCTTCTAACTTCTTATTTTAAAGTAGTTTGATGGTTTATCTGTCCTATAGAAGCTTTTCTCACACTCTACTTTTCACACTTCTAAGCTTATTTTTATTGTACTTCTGCAGTTATGGTGATCAAGTTCTCCTTAAAAGCAGTTGAAGTGCTTTGCTAAAATAACACAGAACTTCCCTTGCTTGAAATGGATGCCCTTTTCTTTATATCGGAAACTGTTCTAACAGCAGATAACCTTGAAGTCAGGTCATTTTCATGACATATTAATCTCATGTTTATGTTAAATGTTCAGATAAGACTAAGGCCTTGTGATAAACACTGAGCTATGCTTGTTAGGCACAATATTTAAAGCTGGAGATGACTAACTACTGAGGATCTAACACTGAAAAGTTTTCTTTGTTTTCTAAATAATGTTTAGTATGGGGAAGGTGCATAACTTGGATTTGTTTCTATATTCTGAACACATTCTCCGTGAGAGAGTGTTAGAGCATAAAGAGACTTATTTTCTTGGAATGACATACCTCAGAATCCTTTGCTCAATACGAAAAGGATACAGGATCTGGTTAGCCTAAACATGAACAAACATAAAATGTCCCCCTTGCTTTCTCCAAATCTTATGTTCTGTCTCTACCTGGAGTGGCAAATGAATACATCTTCAGAAAATAAATATTGGTCTGAAGTTATTGTGTCTTTGTTTCCTGATCTTTTAAGTTATTGATGCAGTCAGCAGTAGAGGGATAAGTGGTTTAAAAATTCAACATCCATGTTAAGGTTGATCTTTTCTAGTCAGAGAAAGAATTAGCCAACTACAAATCTTTTATCAGTAAAATGAAAATACGTATACTGCTTTGGTTTCCTGACAGCGTTATTAAGACTGAGTCATATTTCCAATTCATACTGAAGATTTATAGTATAGTTGCATAGAAATAATAATAGGAATAAAATATCTGGTAGTCTGCTTAGATGGCAAATGATTTTAATTTTGTTAAAAAGACAAATTCACTGACTAATGGTTGGGCTTCATAAGGGCAGAATCTTTAACGTGATATACTGTTTGCAGACTCTTACTAAGAAATAGTATGTACATCTCAAATCTTCTCCAGTGCAGATAACTAGATTTGTTCCAAATTCTAAATCTTGTGCTTTTTGGTCCCAAAACCATATTTCTTATTCTTATAATCCTAGGGAGCATTAATTATTGTTATGCAAAAGAAAAGCAAATTAACAAAACAGAAACAAATCATACAATGAAGACCATAATGGTATTTAAAACCCCTCCTCCACTCCTAAATACCTGTGAGATGGAGGTAGGGAAGGCAGAGGGATACATGAATAAAATAAAATAAAAGCAAATGTAGTATGGTGGGCTTTCCGTTCTGGAAAATTCTCTCAATACGTGACTTTTTGTACTTTTCGTCTTTTCTATTGCCAGCGAGAGTGGTATGGTGCCTGCTGCATGAGCTGCTTCTCTTCCACCGACTGTTCGGCAATAAATTCGTAGGGAATAATAGCATGTGATCATTCTAGTTAGAGCAGTTAATAACTGGTTAAGCGACATTTCTCTCAAATAGCTGTTTTCATCGCCCCAAGGCAGTCTCTTTCACCCTATTCCCATCGTGCCCCTCCTCTTCAACAATGCCCCAACTTCTTCCTCAAATCTCTAGCAACTAGCCCCCAGCAATCCTGCACGGCAATCCTACAAACGTGCTGTCCTCTTAAACACAGAGCAATCCGATCCGCCAAGGCAAGAAAGAGTCAATTGTTGGGGGGAAAAGGCAAACTGGAAAAAATAGATGCTCTTGCTCTCCAGAAGGAAAATGTAGACGGAGCCGCCGGGCCCGGGCCCTCTGCCGGCTGTGCGGCCGAGTTCCCGGCGGGTGGGGAGCTGTCCGGCGCGCAGAGAGTTAAAGGCATCATCGCAGCCATTAGAGGGAAAAGTTGCGGCGCGAAGCCCGGCGGAGTCCTCCTGCCCGCCCCCCTTGCCCACTCCCCACTTCCCGAGCCAGCTCGGCGTTTAGGGAGGGCAGTGATCACGCCAGCCGCAGCGGCAGGCTGACGTTGGACGAGTTGCCAGGTAGCTTAGAGCAAGCATCGAAGCAGCGAGGACACTTCCCAGCGTTGCAACCCGGGTCTGGACTCGCAGCCTGATCGAATCCGAGCCAGCTGGTTTTCACCTTCGCGAACTGCATTCCCCTCTCCCAAAGCCAATCCTCGCCCAGGAAGCAGCAGGATGTTTGCAGTGCCGCGACCAGGGCGCTGAGACGAAACCTCTGATACATTTGCATTCCTTTCTTTTAGGGCTTTTTGGCTGTTGGCAACACTGATGTGACCCCCCCCCCTCACTTTTGGAATGATGGGGATCGTTTTGGCATACGTTGGATTTGTTTTCTTTTCCGTTTTATATGTACAGCAAGGTCTTTCTTCTCAAGGTAAGTCTGTGCTCACTGGCAAAATATATATGGGCTTGTGGTGTGTTGTGCGTGTGTGTGCAAATTCTCTACATTCAAAGAATGGCCAGGCAAATGTAGTGAGGTTCCAAGCAAGCAATAGTGAAATAACGTTTTGTTTGGAATTTTTCTTTAAAGTTTATTAAATAGTAGGCAAGCTAGATTTGAGAGCAAATCTGGTGCCTGACAATAAGGTGGGTTCCTCGGTGAGCACAACACAGGGTTGTGTGTGTGTGTGTGTGTGCCTTCTATGTGTGTGCATGCACAGGGTAACCACTCACGCATACATAATCATCGCAAACAAACACGGAGCTGGGAATGGGGGACTCTCCATTGCCAGTCTTCCTTCCCAGTGTCGGCAGGATCGGTTTAGAGTTTCCTTTTTCTGGGTCCGTGTGACTTCGTTTGCATATGTGTTTATCAAAGGACAGACTCCTCTGAGGATCCATAAAAAAAGCACGACTTGCATTACAAGCAGCAGGAGCCTGCTGAATCCAGTTTTTCAGGACTTTGCAGGCTGCAGTGAACATTTCAGCACCATGAACAGATCACATCTCTGCTGCCAGAAGACTGCATCACTTCTGCAAGCAGAAATGCCGTAAACCTCCTTCCAGCTTGAACAGAAAAGTCCTTTTCAGATCGGAATGTCTTTTTAAAATCTCCTGTTTTCTCTAAGTATAAGTACAGTTCCATTTCAATAGGTCATTTTGGGATTTTACAAAATTATGAAAAGAGACACTGATGGTGTCTCTCTCTAAAAAGTGTAGGAAAGTGCACCCACCCTAAATCAGTCCCGCAGCCCCCTCAGTTCTGCGCTCCATGAGTGTACACTGTAGCTGTGCACTTCCATCAGCCAAAAATCTCTCTAAGACTCGTTTTAGGGAATCATCAGCTCTTTGCAAAGTGTTCCTTAGGCAAGACAAGAACAACCATCCAAAGCATTCTATGTTCAAGTGCTTTTGGGAGAAAGGGAATATCTTATTTTTGTGACTTTCACCGTGACTCCACGAATCCAGCAAACTAGCAGTGTCAAGGTTGGTAATGAAGAGGCTGAAAAAAAATCTGTCTAGAGACTTCAAAACAATCTTTAATCTGAACTAAACCCAGGTGTGTGATTCTTACATCCCATGATGTATGGCAATTTACAATACAATGGCTTGATGGGAATAAATGTGAAGATTAATTTCGAAAGAAAGAAATATTCACAGCTGAGAAAGTGTGCAACTTGTTTCATTGCTATAGCCATCAAATCACAATTGCTAATAATCCTTCTGATATGTCAAGAATGTACATTTTGACAAATAATCATGATCCATTCACTATTACATGAAAGTCATAGATTGTTTAGAAACTTGGAGGCAAGAGGCTATCCTCATATATCAACTGGACAGATTTGCCTAAAATGTACCTCACTGAATCCCTCTGTAAGTTTTGGGGAATACTGCAATCTGACACAAGGTACTTGGATCTAACTGGACAGCTTGGCTAACAGAGGGTAATAATTGGCAAGCTTGTTAACCTTTCCACTATCTGGGCTTGATCAACAACAAAGTGGTTTAGGCATGACACCAAAATTGAGATAGGAGAGAGGCAAAAGACAGGAGGTTGGGGAGCCAGGCAAAGTCCGGGATGTCACAGAAGGATTTTGTTTCTGTTTTTTTTTTTTTTTTTTTAAGTCCAAAAAAAGTGTAGCGAGCTCTCAGGGAAAGAGATGCTAGCAAGAATGGTGTGGATATTCCAAAAGGATGCGTTTCTATTTTGTAGCAAAATTTACCGAGTTCCCGCGGAACGTGACGGCGACCGAGGGGCAGAATGTGGAGATGTCCTGCGCTTTCCAGAGCGGCTCCGCGTCGGTGTACCTGGAAATCCAGTGGTGGTTCCTACGGGGACCCGAGGACCTGGAGCCCGGGGCCGAGGTGGCCGGTGCGCAGGTAGCGGAGTCGCGTAGCCCGCAACATTCCCTGCATATGTCCCACTCGCTCCCTTAGTCCTTTGGGTGTCCAGGCAGTGGGTCTAGGCCCGAGATGGTGCCTGGGCGCCGCTGAGGACCTGCCTTGCTCTCCTGGAGTGAGTGACGCCTAGAGATGCCAGGGAGTGAACTAGAACGCGTCCTGGTGCCACGACGTTAAAACCCAGGAGGAAGTCCATTGTTATCAAGTCTTTCTCGATTTAAACTGGGAATGGCCTCCTCCCTGTAGCGCTGGTTATTGTCAAGCCATCCGTGATGGCACCGCTGTGTTGGTACATCCCAGGACACGCGCTGTCCCCTTTCCAGGACCTTGGAGCAGGGGAGAGTAATTCTGTCGGCGTCTCCATCACCCCTCCCCCAAAGTCAGTTCCTCTTGTGTCTGAGGTTGGCAGAATAGAGATTGGTGAGAGGGAGCGGGGATGGGAGGGAAGGAGAAAGAGAGAGAGAAAGGAGGAGAGAGATAGAGCGGGGAGAGACCAGGGGGGAAGACTGAGAAAGAGGGAGGAGAAACAGGGAGCAGGGTAAGAAGGGAGAAGGGACTAGAGACTGAAGGCGGGGGGAGGGGGGAGGGCGACTTGAGAATAGACCGGAGAGGAGGGTGGAGGGGGACCGGAGAGGAGGAAGGGAAGGGGAGGAGGGGAGGAAAGGAGGAGGGGCCGAGAAACGGGGGGAAGAGGAAAATGGAAGTGGAGGGAGAAGAGGGACAGGATAAGAGGGTCAGAGGGGAGGTTGGACACAGAGTTCAGCAAAAGGCGGCGGACGCGTCAGAGCAAGAGAAAGAAAATCAGCCTAAGAGCCCGGGGGAGGGGACGCAGGCCGGGTAGAGACGCGGAATCCCGTCCCAGCAAAGTCGCCCCGCGCGCCAGCGCCCGCGCCCGCCTTCCCCGAGTCCCTGCCCTCCCGGGAACCGTGCGTCCGGGACCATCAGAGCGCGACCGGCAGCGCCCCCGCGCGGTCCCGTGCCGCTGCAGGGAGTCCCCGGCCACCGGACTGGGTCGGGCACGTTCCTCCTCCTCCGTCTCTTTTCTAAACCGCTCCAACTGAGATGTTTCCACAACAAGCACTTGGGTCGTGTCACGCAGGCTCTGCAGAGTGCGCCCGGGGCCGGACCGCGACCGGCCGGGCTCCAGTCTGAGGTTCGTCTCCTCCTCCTGCAGGTGGAGTTGGTGCCTGACCGAGACCCGGACAACGACGGAACCAAGATCAGTGTGAGTATCACAGCGACAGGCGACAGGGGGCGCGGGCCTCGTCAGCTGCCAGGCAGGCCCAGGTGAAAATCAGTTAACACGAATCTGAGGTTTTTAAAAGCCTTTTCATGTGGTCCCTAAAAAGGCAATTTCGCAAGTGCAGGCGAGGGCCGGTTTTCCTTTCTTCTTCACTGGTTACATGAAACTTGAGGCAGATTTGGAGTTGATAAAATAAAATTACTTATTTTAATCACGTAAATATTTAAACAGTTACTAGAGAATCATTTTGCCACCCAAAGCGGTGTGTGACACTTTTTTTTCTTGCTCTTTTTAACAGTTACATAACTGTAAAAGCAAGGGGCTGCAATATAGAAAGAATTATCCTTTAATAGGAAGTAAAACACTAACATATGAAAATCTTCCTAGGCAGATTAGGCAGAAAACATTTAAAGCATCCAACAGGATGTTGAAAATGTAATGAAAACAACTCAGTTTTCAACGTCATTCATAATGCATGCAATGTATTTCTAATACCAATGTTCAAAATCATATAAATATAAAACCAATAGCCAATATAAATATAAAAACATAATTGGAGGAGGTTAACCTATTGAAAATAAGAGAGGTGGGTTTCTACTCTACTGGTTATTACTTTTTACAATGTGTGTGAAATTAGAAAAAAGAAGAAAATCTTGCGTCTTTACTATACCTCAAAGGGAGCCACATAGAAGCACTTTATATTAATAGAACTGGTTGACTTGTTGATAAGTAGTAAACAAGTTTCCATTACTAGAAATGAAATAGTTATATAATAAGAAAGGAGAAGACCTACTAAGTATAAATGTATTATATATAATATAGAAACACACATGTATATGTCTTAGGAATCTAAAAATCCAGTGACGCATTTAAAAAGGAAATTTATTCTGAAGCTTTTAAAATAGGGTAAAGCGGTGTAAGATTGGAGTTACATCATAACTAAAAGTGTAAATATATATTGTAACTAATAGAATCAAATTCTGTAATCTAAATGTATAATCTCAACATGAAAGAAAATATCAAATGAAAGCAAGATATAAACCAGAAACTCAAATTTATATTCATAAACTCATTGACATTTTAGAACATTTCAATTCAATTATTCTTATGTCACAGAAACTTGCTTTCAGACAGGGTTAGAAAAGCTTGTTGGTAAGATCAATAGTTTACAATTTTTTCTTAAATATTTCACTTTTCATACACACATATAATTGGATAGATTGTTTATTGACTATTTGTCTTTGACCTTTCACCCATGCCCACATCCTCCAAAGACCAGCAGTGAAATAGCCTCACACATGCTGACCTAGAGAAGCAGTCAGGTAGATAATCATGCACACAGCTGCTGACAGTACTATCTAGGCCAATAGTTCATAAAATGTAGTGGATTGGAAAGAGTTCTAGATACAAACTGAGGTAGAAAGTCATTTGTTCCCAGTTTACCTACTGTGTGACCTTGAACATAAGTCCTAAACAGGCAGTTGTTGACTTAGAATTTCCAGGAGACCTTGTATAAAATACTGATATGGGCTTCATGCCCCAGAGATCTAGACTTAATGTCTCGGCTTTAACCAAGTGAGAACATTTTCTAAGAGCTCCTCAGATGATTCTAATATGCAGTGTTAAGAATCACCAGCCCAGGGGCCAGCTTGGTGACATAGTGGTTAAATTTGCATGCTCTGCTTCATTAGCCCGGGGTCCACAGGTTCAGTTCCCGGTGCAGACCTACACGCTATTCATCAAGCCATGCTTGTGGCAGCATCCCACATACGAAATAGAAGAAGATTGGCACAGATGTTGGCTCAGCAACAATCTTCCTCAAACAAAAAGAGGAAGATTGGCAACAGATGTTAGCTCAAGAGCAGTCTTCCTCACCAAAAAAAAAAAAAAAGAAAGAATCACCAACCCAAACCTCCTAGGCCTCAGTTTACTGTAAAATGGGATCATAATAATATAAGTACTCTGACTACCTCAAACTTTATTAGGAGACTCAACTAAGAATATATTTGAAATTATTAATTTCCATTATTTTTATACTATTAGTATATTTATATGTAATTTTTCATACACATAAATATATACTTATGGTTATGGTTAAAATGTTGGAATCTATTTGTATACGTGGCTCTATATGTAAAAACAGATGAACACTTGCCACGTTTTCTTAATTATTTACCGCCATTTGAAAGTGTAATGGCCGGTAGCAGAGTAACTTTTGGCCTTCTTCACTTCTTTTCTCTATATTTCAAAATCACCCAGATCTTTAATTCCTGAATGACTTATGCAACCCATCATCCTGTCAATCATGGATAATATATAATATATATCAAATCTAGCTGTTCTGATAAAGATGCTTATGGATATGTATACAACATATTATATAAAATTTTATGTTATACATAATCTTATATGTTAAATATAAATATTATCCTGCTATTAATCTGGCATAAAAATTATTAGAAGAAATATAATTTCAGTTTTGAAAATCAAACCAGTGTTTAATTAACGGTGTCTCAAGTTCCAGTAGCATAAAGACCCTGGAATGTCAGGGGTGTGTACTCTGGGCCGTGCGACTTCAGGTGGTAGTGGTCTGTACCCTGAGCCATGGCCCCCATGACTGCAGGTCAGATCACACCAAGTCAATGCAGTCAGTACCTTAGGAGTCATCCCAATGTGGGGATAAAAGCACGTTCTCACCTAAGCTCTATCGTAGCCAACAAAATACTTTTGTGATTGCTCAGAGTCGTAGCTGCAACATAGAGAAGAAGCTATATAACTATACATTCGACCCCATTAGGTTCCTGTGTCATTCGGCTGAGCTAACCAGGAGAGGCCAGTCCCATGACTGGAAAGTGGCAGAGCTGCTGCCAGAACGTGGGAAATGGGGGTCACAGGCTAGGCTAATGGAATGGGCACTGGCTGGATTGAACCATGATCTTGGGAATCCAGTTATTCATAGACTAGAATACATAAGATCTTCAGATTTGACTGCTAAGAAAATAAAAAGCTCTCTCACTGTGGCTATGAGGCCATTAAGACCCTTTAATTTGCCAACATTAGCAAACACAAGACAATGTATGAGAACAAAATCATTTGATGTAGCCCTGTATTTTTTAACTGCAATTTTTCAGACAGTGAAAGTCCAAGGCAATGACATCTCTCACAAGCTTCAGATTTCCAAAGTGAGGAAAAAGGATGAAGGCTTATATGAGTGCAGGGTGACCGATGCCAATTACGGAGAGCTTCAGGAACACAAGGCCCAGGCCTACCTGAAAGTCAACGCCAACAGCCATGCTCGGAGGATGCAGGCCTTCGAAGCCTCGCCCATGTGGCTGCAAGATATGAAGCCTCGCAAGAATGTCTCTGTGGCCATTCCCAGCAGCATCCACAGCTCTGTCAACCAGCAGATGCGCCCCACCTCCAGCCCTCAAGCGGTAGCCAAAATACCCAAACAAAGTCCACAATCAGGTATGGAAACCCATTTTGAGCTTTTCATTTTACCACTCACAACCCCTCCACAGGAAGATCAGTCAAGTAGAGTAGACAGATGTATGTATGATGTTTTTTAAAAATGGAGACCTAGTTCAGTTGAAGTAAGAATAAGACAGGAGACATGGAGCCTGAGGCTGGCTTCACAGAGGATGTGAATTGGCCTGTTAGTGGCTGGCAGTGCTTCATGTCCAGAGGATCTAAGAGCTGGACTTTTTCTTTTTTCTTCTTCTGTATTTACACATTATAAGAACAGTAAATCATGTGATGTTGGTTGCATTATAAAATTCATGTTCATTTTCTCTGCAGATTTATGTATTGAGAATGACCCAAATTAAGCAACTTTCACTTAATCAAAATGTAAATGAAAGAGAAACACCACATTTTCAGCCACCCATAGCTTTAGGCAGGACTGTTCTCCAAGGGCTTTTGATTTAGAAGGAGAAACTTCAGCTGCCTGTGAGGAAAGTGATGATGATAATGGGAGGAAGTGAGGGGGGATAAAAGGCAATAAGTAGTGGAGAGATAAGGCAACTCCTGTAAATGTGCCTTTGATGCTGTTTCAGAAGCTTAGTCACACATTTCCTAAGTCAGCTGTGCAAGTTAAAGCTGTTCTGAATAACATTAATTTATGCAATCATTCAGCCAATGGAAACTCTGGAAGTTTTAACCTTGATGTGGGGTAGCGGCTTCTTGGAATGAGCAATACTCTGCATGACCCCAGGAATATTCTGTATTTTGCTCAGACACTTCTCATAATATTATAGGACAAAGGGAACATAAAAATATTTATCATTCTTTAACTTTTGTCTTTACATTTTATCATTGAAGAAGTATTGATACTACTATTGGTAATAGAAAATTATATGGCCAACATTCAAAGTATCTTTAGCTATTAGATTAAAAAGTCTGGTCACTTTATCAGGATGATTCATAAGGATCTTGGCTTAGGGTCCCTGCAACTTGGCACTGCTTTTAAATGCAGGTGAGCAACTATCCCAGCATGCCTTGGTCATGGCAGTTTCTGTCAGTCTGCTAAGTAGAGAGCTTACCCTCTGAAGCCCAGTTTGTTATGGCTATGTCTTATTTTTCTTTTTATCATCTCCCTGGTTTTACAAATTAAAGAACAAAAAAAGCATAGCTATAAAACGTGTATGTGTGTGTGTGTGCATGTATATAAACATATACCTATATAACAAACACATATATATGTATGTACCTAATGGTTATAATTTTTGTAACCATTATTTGATAAAGATTTAATGTCTTCGAAAGCGTTGCCCTCTCCACTTCAAGCTGTTAAAAGAAGAAACTAGACACTATATGCAAAATTACAGAGTAAACTCATCAGATAATTTACGACCTAATTAATGAGAACTCCAAATCATGGGAGTGAAATTATTAGCCTACATAGAATATTCCATTCTGTGGAATAAAATCCCACAGATTACATATTCTAAATGAAGATTCTAAGCATGGAATGAAATATTCTATTTCTAAACTATTTATCTTTTTGGATTAAATGTACTCTAAATGTACTCTAAAAATATCTTTTATTTTATTTTAATACCTCTTTCTTAGCACTGTGATGGGAACTAAATGGTAAGCTCTAGATATCTTCTAACAATTTTCAAATAAAAATCCCTGCTCATTTTCCACCCTGCCACCTGTCTCACTCATTGCCTTCTCTAAAGTGAAGGTAAAAGGAAGGAAGGGGTGCTGACTCATGGAAGCCTGTGTTCATTAAAAGCCCTTTCTACTAAAAGTTGTCTGCTTATAACAAAGATTAATCTGAAATATATCACGATTTTTAATTTCTATTTTTTTCTGCCAGTGAATTCTGGAAAATATTTCATATACTTTTCACAACATTTTCTAACTTTTAGTTCAGAAGCTGGGGTGCCACAGTCACCCTTTCTGTTCATGTGTAAGTGTCTGTGCTTGCACAATGATTGTATAAAACACAGTATCTGGGATGGATTTTTATATATTATATTTATATTATATATTATATTAAATATTATATATTACAGTAAATATTATATAATTATACACACATTCTGATTTATAATTTTGCTTTATAATTTCTCAGGTTATATTCAAATAAATAAAGCTGATTTCAATACCCATGCTTCATTTACTCACTCATTTATTCATTCTCCATCCTCTCAAGAGCTTATATACCAGGTATAGTGGTGCAAAAATGGAAGATACATTTCTTCTCTTCAGAGAGTTTATATTTTAATTTGTGAGAAAGCAAAATATCTATAAATCCCATTTATCATGCATCTTTTCTTACTCTATTAAAGGCAAGATATGTTGAAGACGCAGGGATTAAAATCTTGCTTATTTTCACTAATACAAGGTGGCATGCTTCATCCTTGGAATACATGACACTGTTATATCAACCTGTGTCACAAAAGACTGGTCTATCTGGCCTATTGTTTTCATCATAGCCTTTCACTTCGTTGACTAAATTATACTCAACTCTTAATTCATAGTATTTTCCTCTCAAGAAGTTCTGTGTCTCTGTAAAGTATTAGCTGAAAATAACTTTGTATACCCTTATATAATGTCCAAATTTTCATACAATTAACCAGTTTTACTAAAGCAAAAGTTTTCATGGAAAAAGGTAGTCTATTGCCATCTACATATCACAAGATAGAGAAAAGATTTAGCTATTATTTAATATAGCCAGTCCTATATCTTTTTCAAATATTTTTCCAAAAGTAAGTGAGCATGTGATGGTCCCCTCCTGCTTGAATCTGTTTTTCTTTATAACATCTATTTTTAAATTCCTTTAACTCTACCTCCATTTCTACCTCCAGTTAGAACCAAAATAATGAAGAAAAATTATAAAGCAAACAGATAAACAGAACTTGGCTTTTGCAATCCCTTAAGAGTTTCCCATGCCTGATTCTTTTGAATTCTCTCCAGTTTTGTGTACCCATAACTAACGTTGAAGATGTGAGGAGGAAGAATTCCTGATTCTAGCATGGAGTGGTTTAGTTCCATCTTCACAGAGAGCACAGAGACTTACTTGAGCTTCCTCACCTCCACCACATCCCCAAATACCTCCATGTACTACACCATTCTCTACTCATTTCTTCCTTTCTCATCAAGTATCTCTGCTCCTTTCAGAAGCCAGACATCCCCTCCATACACCACTTCTCCAGTCCTTCCTTTGTTCCTCTCTGTCTTCCTTCCCCTCTACTGGTCTCCTTCCTGTGCTCTTACAAATAGGCAATCAAAACTGTGCAAGGAGGCTCTTGCCCCTGCCCTCCCTCAGCCTGGCATTACACGCCTCCCCCGCCCCAAGGTGCACACCCTCCTGCAGAGGGCACCGTACATGTGCACTCATCTCTCTGTCCTTACTCTTTAGTCCCTGCATCTCTCCTTCCCTGTCAGCCCTGCTGGAAATGCTCTATGGCTGGTCATTGGTCTCCCAGTCTAGGCACCTCTCAGGTCTTGTCCTCTCAGTTTCTAGGCAGCATTTGCCCACTTGTCCTCTGGTTATTGGTGGTTAGTGTTTCCCTCTCTCTTTGTTGGCTTCTCCTCTTAAATTCCTCTCTTAAATGCAGTTCTTTTCTCATTCTTAACTCCCTAACCTTCTTATCCATTTCTGTGGTGTTTACTGCTAACTTTTCCTTAGAAAACTTCTCCGTTCACATTTCTAATTCTGATTTCTTTCTGGAGATGCAAACTAAGATTTGCTGTTGTCCCCCAAACATCTCCACATTCTTGTCTACAAGCACTGTGGCAGAGTAGAGATGGCTGCACATTTGTTACATTCCACTCATTGAACTGTGGTGCCTCTTTTCTGCCCTTGAAACTGGGCTGGCCTGTGTCCACTTTGACGGTAAGCTATAAAGAAGTAATGCCAGGCAAGTAATTATAGCCTTTAACAGGACTGGCAGCTTCTGGGGTGGCTTCTTAGAAGCCAACCACCATATAAGAAGTGCAGCTAGCTTGAGATCACCTTACGGGGAGCAAAGCCCACACATTGTTAACTTCAGCCGCGGCTGCTATTTCCTAGCAGCAGGAGAGATCCCAAGCAACACTGCCCAGCCAAGCCCAGCTGACACACAGACTCGTGAACGATAATAATACATTTTTGCTTTAAGGCGGTAAGTTTTAGGGTGGTTTGTTTCACAGCAATAGATACCCAAGTCAGGCACCTAAACTCAAATATTCAAAACTGAATTTATCTTAGTTCTCTCACAGAGAAGAAATGTTCTTCTCATGTTCCTGAACTCTTTTAATAACATCATCATAATAATAGATCTGATGGAAACCTTGAAAATGTTCCTATCTTCTCTTCCCTTGGCAGTTCCACACTGAATTAGTCATTGATTTCTACTAAATGTCTCTTTAAAATATCCTTGAACAGCTACATCTTTTGCATCCCACCAACGCTGGCATAGTTCTCAACATAGGCCCTCTGCACTATTCCAACATCCCCAATAGTTTCCTTGTTTTAACTCTAATACAAGGACCAGATCACAGCAGAGCAAGTATTAAATAATTACTATCTCCAAAGCACTATCACTAACTTTTATTGTCTAATTTCCAGCCCTGTTTCACAGAGTTCCTAATCTTCACACATAATCTTCCTAATTGGTATTTCCTGAATAGTTTCAGAGACTTCTTACCTCTATGACTTTGCAAATGCTGCTTTCTTTGTGTGGGTCTTTCCCTGTTTGGCGAGTTCCTACTCAAATGCAAATTATTTGATGAAGCTTTCTTCTGTTGTCTTAGAAGTGGTTGTTTCCTCCTTCAGATCACCACAGCAATTTGTTCACACTTACTTTGAAGCTATCGTCGTGCCTCATTATTACAGTAATTTTTCCCTGGGGCTTTCCTCCTTCTGGTGCTGGAGTCCCACATTCTTGGAAACCTCCTAGTCTCAGGCACAACATGATAGTTGGCCGCCCTACTGGAAACTTCTTGGCTACAAATATTAGAACTTGCATTTGCAA